TAAAAGATCTTATGTACATTCAACACATAAAAATGGATTTGTTTACTCAAATTAATCTTTATTTAAGTTAAACATAATTATATCTTTTTTATGAGTATCACATGTGAAATTTAAAGCAGGAATTTTCTAAATATTAAATGTATTTATTTACTTTGTAATTTTCATCAATCTCTAAATTAATTTAACATGTCTATTCTATTTTCTATATTTCTTTGTCTACATCCTGAAATTATTCAAAATTTTCTAAGTATTTAAGTAATTTTCTAATTTAAATTAAAGATTCTGTAATTTCTTTATAATCTATATTTGGAGAAGGACTTGCTAATTTACCATCTTCTTGATAACAAGTTGACAAAGGTTTACTTTGATCATTTGAAGTTTTAGGTTCTGATATTTAATATTATTATTCCTAATCTATTTGTATTTCTAACTGATTCTTTAAATCATCAAACTATTTTTTAAAACTTCCTTCTATTGATTTGATTACATCTGATAGCTTTTAAATACTTTCCCTTGTTTTTATTTGTTTATCAGCTTATAATTTTTTTAGCTCTTAGTTAGCAATTTCAACCTTTTTTATTGCTTCTTCAAAAAGAATAATCTTTTTATTTCCAATCTTTTCTAGAAGACATTTCACACAATAATATTTTTCTTGATTACTTATTTTAATTAATTCATCTGATAAGTCCACAGCAACAATTTAAAAGCCTTTATGGTCATTTTTTATGCATTCTTTTTTAATTGCTTCTTCTTTTAACATTTAGTAATTTTTTTAATTCATTTAATATATTCAATAGAAAATATAAATGATGATTAATAGAATTGCATAAATAATATAAAATGATAGAATTTAAAATTTAACAGATAAATTAAAAATTGAAATTAAGTTCTGTTTTCAATTTTATTTTAATACTCCCTAATTAATAAGATAATAAGATATATGATAAAGAATATTAATAATTAATATAAATATAAATATATATAATATTATTTTTTTGTTGTTGATGATTTAAGCCAATATTACTAATATTATTCTATCTCAATTATTTTAATCAATACTCCATTTATCTAAAATATTTCTTAATAATTTGAAACAATTATCATTATGACAATTCATTCATATTTCCCAATAATTATTAGTTTTTAAATTCCTAATTATGTTTTTTTATTGTTAAACTATCTATTTTTATAAAAAGGGTGGCTAATCTATTACTGTTGGAAAAATATAATACAAATTGTTTAAAAAACAGAGATTTAAGTAAATTACTAACAACTTAGAAAATCATTTGTATTTTTTTGTATTTAAATTAAAAGTTATTATTTACATCAGATTATTTAACATGACAAATTTGTATTGTTTTTGGGATTAGAAATTGATTAAGGGCAATCACTTTGAGATTTAGATTAATTTTAATCTACTTATTATAGCCATGCGGATTTATTAGATATATGGTTTATTCATCTATGCAAGCTAATTAAATTAAGATTATATAAAAATTATAGAAATTTTCAGATTCTAATTTGACAATTTTGGTTTAATAAATTTTAAGAAAATCGCCCAATAATCTAAATATTAAGAAAAAAACTATTATTAAATTTATATGGAAAGTGAACAGGTATGATATTAAATGACAAATTTTAGAAAGAGAATTGCTAACCTTTATTGAAATAAAGATATGAACCCTTCTAATTCGAAGAAACAAAAGAAATTGTTGAGATTGAATAGGAAAACAAGTTTGATTAATTTAAAGACTTTTTGTTTGGAATACAAATATAAAAGAGTTAGAGAGATGTATATTTGGATGGGAAAGTGAATCCAATTAACAAATAGAACAATTTTATAAAAAACTCAAAATAAAATTGCATATACATTTTTACCCATTTTACTTGTAATTGATGGAACCAGTTTAAAATACTGCACTTACATATTTTGAGGAATTATTTTTTACAATCGCTACAAAGAGATAATCTGTTGTTTGTTGTAGATGTTCTGGAACTTAAAAAGCTTAAGTTACAGAATGCATGAAATTTTGTTCAAAAAAAGTAGGTATAATTTCATAATTATTATCTTTATTAGAGATGGTGGTAATGATATAGGTATGATTTAACCTGCAGATGTTGGAATTGGTTTAGAAGGTAAAGAAGGGAAATAAGCTGCCTTAGACTCTAATTTTTCTATAGTCAAATTTAAATATTTGAATGTTTTATTATTATAGCGTGGCAGATTATCATACAAAGGAGTGCCTTATTATCATAATTTGTTATTCTAAGAGGATTAATCATTTCAGTAATTCAAGCTGTTTTTATGTTTGTGTTCTACTTTTTGTCTATTAGTATTTTTAGTGGTAGATTATTACTTTGGTATTCTACTATTTATAAGTATTAAATTTAATTAAAATTTAGACTGTTTCCAGTGTTTTCCATAATATTTGATGAAGATGTTGAAATTAAATTACTCTTTAATACCCTCCACTTTATAGATCTTTAAAAAAAAAGCTAGAGATCTAAAGACATTTTTGGTTTGGGTTTGGAAATCTATGTTTTAAGGAGTAATAATTATATTTTTGATTTTGGCTATGTTTAAGAAAATATTTTTGGAAATAGAAACAGTTGCTTTTATTCTTTGCATTTTGTCATGAAAAAATCTAATGTTTCATCAGCAGTTATTTACATTTTATCCAATATGTGGTTCGAAAATCAATTATTGGTTTCAGTTATGACCTTTTATTCTTTCTTTAATGAAATTGTAATTATACTGGTCATTGATCTCCTCGTTTTATTGCCTAAAAGATATTAAAGAAATTTGATACATCAGATTATGAAAAGATCATGGCTAATGTAAAAAGAGAATTAATCAATACCAAAATTTTTAAGTGATTGTTAAAATCTTATTTAATTTAACACAAATTGTTGTTTTTTTGTTATATACATTTTATACTTCTATATAATTTTATTAGTTTTAATATTTAAAATAATATAAAATAATAAAATATACAATTTATAACTGTTATTAAACAGAACTTATTAAAATTACATTATCAAGTTCAAGAATTTAATTCTATGATACATTTTTTATTAAAGATCTCTAGTAGCATTCAAATCTAATATTAATTTTATGAAAGAATCTTTTAAATTATTTACCATAATAATAATAATAACAAAGTATAAAAAGTGTAAGAAATGACTTAATAACTGTCTCATTAGTGGGCTGGGATGGTTCAGAAATAAATGGCTGAAAAATTACTAAATGAGAATCAATAAAAATATGATTAATTGTAAAGGAAATAAAGATACAAGGAAGAATTGGAAACAGACATGAAATTGAAATAATAATAAAAAATAATTTAACATCAATAAGATTAGTAATTAGAATCTTAGATGTTAGAAACTCTTAGGTAAAGAGAATCTAAGAAATTAAAAGAAATGGAACAAAGAAAAATTAAACAAATTGAAACTAGTTTAGAGAATCTCAATCATTTATTAATTCGAAAAAAAATGAACTAAGAGAGATCATATTAAAGTTTATTGCTCGAATAAGAAGATATCAAGTAAGAAAAATTAAAAGAGATAAAAAGTTTAGAAAGAATTAAAATTCATAAGGATGAAGAATCAAGAAAACTACGCGAAAATTATGATTCTGTCATACAATAAAAATTGAACTAAAAATAATAAATTAAATCAAAGTTATTATTAGTTCAAGAAACTGATCCAGATTAATAAATTCAAATATAGAGAGGAGATGCATAATCATACTAAATTGAATTAAGCAAATAATTAGAAGAAAAAAAAAGAAAAATACTTGAAATTTAAGCTAAA